CATGTTGCCAGATTTGAAACGGGAAAACCACTCGTAGACCTGTGATTTCCCCAAAGCATCATCATTAAAGGCTTGCCGAAGCATCCCAACTGTCTCGGCTACAGTTTTCCCTAACAGAAAGCAAAATTTCATGCACACTCTTTGTTCCTTCTGGTCGGCCATCTCACTAATCGCCAAAGGGTTGAAACAGGAACGCACACAACAGAGCACCACAGACAAACCACTTAACTCAGACTGACGCCAGCTCACTAACAGTTGCGGGAGACCCCCAGCTAACACCACCTAGCAGCACAACTCTCAACTACAAAGCATGCACGCGCAACAGGTCGTTTCCGGTTATTTTTGGGTCCCCCTTCGTATGAAGGTAACTATCTAAAGTGATGTGGCAGTTGGTAGCCCAGTAGAAATTTATCTACACATCAGAGGAACATGGTATGTCTGTTGTCAGTCCTGAAGATTAAAGCATTTTTCTCTTAAATGTCACTAAACTTCTGTTAACCGTATGGTGTTATGTCTGGAGGACAGGTATCTTGGTGGGGCCAGTTTATTTTATGATTATGCAGATATGTAGTATATTTGTTGTAATATTAGAATTTTTATTAGACATTTGCAGATGTTACTGCATTGTGACATGTACTGAACCCCTTGAAGCTTTAGATGAAGATTATGAAAAATAAATTGTATATTTGGGGCGGCACTGAGGACATTAGAAATTGTAATAAAGTTCTGATTTATAACTATGTAACTAATACTGCGATGCTAAGTGTTTGAAGTGTGCTAGAGAGTCATAGTTTTGAGAAATTAGTTCAGTGTATGCATAATTTTTTCATGACAGATTTGTGTTTAACTAATAGGTTTTTAAAATGTGGCATATTGAAGGGCGTCGTCGTGGGACCAGTCTCTGGGAGTAAGTATGATACATGTGTTTGAGTGTTGACCCCAGGGCCTAGTGCGGCTGGAAGGATTAGGTCAACTGTAAAAATCCAGTGACCTCATTGGGACTTGAACCTGTGACCTTCAACTACAACAAAACTCTTGTATATGTACATAATCGAGGTATGTGGTAATGCAGTTGGTTGACCTGTGCTACAAGCTGGAAGGTTATGAGTTCGATTTCTGATCAGTTCATGGAATTTTTTAGTTCACGTAATACTACCAGCCATGCCATGTCCCTGGGCTTGCCTCAGCCTCTAACAGAAATGAGTACCAGGAATTTTCCTGGGTTCAAAGGGTGGCTGGTGCATGAGGATGATCACATCAGCGCCACCTGTGAGCCGATGGTCTACAAAAAAAAATGTGGGATCCTTGATATATCACAACCCTATTGGCTTCCATGGCATGTTACAGAGAGATAGGTTTACCTTACCTTTATTTGTACATCATCAGAATCTGTAAACTGAAATTTCAGTAAAACAAATGAAAGTGGAATGATAAATATTTTTCGTTATCTTTGAGCTGCTTGTACATATATGTTGCATTTAATTTCATGTTTTAAAATACAGTATTAGAAAAATACTAATTTAACAATCAGAAATCTGTAGTTCAATAGGTTATTATTACTTATAATCTGCAAACAACAACAGTAACAAACATTTGGATGTTGAAAATTTTGTTAAGTTTTTTTGCATTTTTGCTTTGTGTAACTTCATCCTTTACTCTCCCACTTATTATGGAATCATTGTGTACAGATAGAGAAACAAGTACTAAAAGCAGTAGTGATGGGTGTGATGTGATGAAGGGTTCTAATATTTTAGATAATGTAGGTCTCAGTAATCCGGTCTAGAAAACCGAAATTAACGGCTTTGGGGATTTGCTGCTCTATCCATGCGATATCCTCTAGCCACTAAAGTTGGCACTAACTTCGCCGACAAGTGGCGATCGCTCAATCGGTATAGTTTGCTTGCTGACTAAAACCACAGAGTTATTATTATTCAGTAATATACTACTGGTAAGTGTGTTAGATTTAAGGTTCTCACATCAGTGACTATGAAGAGTGTGGGCCTTTGTGTCGTAACACTTGAGTGTTTTAGTAGACATCCACTGATGTGTCGGAGGAATGCCTTTTCTTTGTCTTCAGAGTCAAAGTGCAAGCCACTTATTGTTGGTTTGTTGCTTGGTTTACTCTTCAGCTCTGAAGATGGGGGCAGTCCAGAGGCTTCAGTGCTATTATAAATATAATATTGTCATGTGTTGGGTGTTTGACGCAACAAATGACTTCATGCCATATTGAATATAGCGAATTTATTCCACATTTGCTCGTACACTTAACAATTCACAATTACTTCCACTGCTCTCGGCGACTGCTAGACTTCCGCTGCACTTGGCGACTTCACGATCCACACTCTGTCACTCCTGATTACACACTCTGTTC